GATTGGTGGTCACCAGAGGGGAAGGTGGGAGGGAGGAGGATGAAAGGGGTTATTAGGTACATGTGTAAGGTGATGGATTGTAGTTAGTCTTTGGGTGGTGAACATGATGTAATCTACACAGAAATCAAAATATAATGACGTACACCTGAATTTATGTAATTCTATAAGCCAATGTTATTGCAATAAAATAAAATTGTGGAGAAGGAAGTACCTAAGTTATATCTTGGATAAAGATATATGGATTGAAACATGTTTATGGACCATAAAGGTGACCTTTAGTCAAATAATTAATAAGGATGCCTTCCAATAATGGCCAGAGGTGATGCAACTTTCAGAAATCCATCTAATCATAAAAGTCCAAAAGAAACATTTAGAAACAATGAAGATGTAAAAAAGAAGTTGGAAATACGTAAAAAGCATGATATATTAGCACTAAGCACACAGAAGTATGTTCATATCATTTTGTTTGAAGCACAGATTTGAAATGAAGAACATTAAGGATTACCTCAGGTGACCACAGGTAAATAATCTTAGCCCACAATCTGTCTGAACCTTTTATTCAGGGTCTAAGGGGATATTGGACTCATCTTGATGGGATCTCTGAGAGAAATGTGTCTTTGCAGAAGTCTGAATATTTTTATTAGATGGTAGATAATGGAGACTAAAGTTCTGTCCTCAGAGAAGAGAGCAAAACTAAGTGAAGCATTGGTCCCTGGACAAGATTTAGGGCCTAAAACAACAGCAGCAACAGAAAGAAAATGTTGTACCCATCCCAAGTTTACACACTCTGAGAGACTAAAAAATGAGGAGATATTTACAAGTCCCTATATCTGCTCATTAGCACGTTTTTCTCTTACCCCAACTTCTAAGCACATGATTCCCATTTGGGACACTTATGTGGATACAAAATAAAATTCTCCTACTGATTCTCTGTTCCTAAGAGACTAAGATAGAAGTCCAATGAATTCAGGTTTTTTTTCTTTTTACACATTTTCTATGAACTGTCTGCCATTCTAGAGGTCTAAATCTCCTAGCACTTTATGTCAACTCTGAGATAAAGTTTTCTTCAAGTTTAAGACAGAGGAGGCTGTCTGGATTAGGTCTTTTGTATCTTCAAAGCTTTGCATTCTAGTGGGGACATAGCCCAAAATATCTCCAGAAAATTTCTATTTTTTTCAACAAGTAAAGGAACTGTGTTCCTTTGATATAAAACCTTGGGTACTATACTTCTTGGCTTTATGACAGTTTCTCCATAGTAATTAGGAATTTCATACTTTATGTGACAAGTTAAGAGCCATCATTTAGTCCCTCACTATAAAATGCTTGTTAATTATAAAAGACATATTTAGATTTTTTAATGCGCTGTAACTTGAGCTTAGCATCTTATAGGGATTGTTTGATTTAATTTATATAAAAGTCAATTGTATGAGGTAGTGTTGTTGTGAACTTTATTCTCCACTGCAGAAATAAGGCTTAGAGAGGTTTACCTATCTGCATAAAGCTAAAGTTCAGTAAGAGGGAGGCCCTCAGCTGAAATTCTATTAGGATGCTTCTGGTTCTCAAACTCTGGGTCAATGATTTTCAACCAGAGAAAATGTTGCCTCTGCAGATATTTGTCAATGTTTGAAGGGATGCTGCTAAAAACCTTCAATCCACAGGATAGGCCCCAACACTAATATTTTCCTGCCCCCAAAATCAACAGTAAAAAGGTAAGAAAATCTATTCTAGACCAGCACTTCTCCAAATTCAATAAACATAGAAATTACCTAGGTTTCCAGTATAAAATTAGTTTCTAATTTAGCAGGCCCTGATAAGCCCAGCAATTCTGCATTTCTAACAAGCTCCTGGGTGATGTTGATGCTGCAAATTCTGGGTTGTGGAAGTCTCTTTGAATAGCAAGGATGGGGTGTTAGAGTTAAATGTAGATAGTTTTATATCTTCTCCACTAAAAATTATCTTTGCATGTAATTTTGAAGGAGTAGTGTATTCACTCATCCAGAGGCTGTGAAAAATTCTGTTTGATTATTTTATATAAGGGTCCTTGAGTGCCACCAAATAATATACTTCTGAAAAAGATTTTATAGCAGCAGAGTGAGGTCCTCCAAAGATCTCCAAATTTCAATCTCCAGTATCTTTGAATATGTTATTTTTATAGCAAAGGAAGATTAAGTCATCAAGTGGAATAACATTTTAATCAGCTGGCCTTAAGAAGATTAGCCATTATTTCCAGCTTGGACTAACATAATCACAATGGTTCTTTAAATTTCAAAGCAGAAGGCAGAAGTGCAGATGTAACAGAGAAATTTGAAAATGCACTGCTGCTGGCTTTGAAGATGGATAAAGGGCCATGAGCCAAGGAGTGCAGGTGACCACTACAAACTGGAATAGAAAAGGAAACGGATTCTTCCCTGAGCCTCTTGAAGGAACCTAGCCCTGCATACATATTGATTTTAACCAAATGAGATCTATTTCAAGTTTCTGACCTCCAGAACTGTAAGAGCATAAATCTCTTTGTTTTAAACGATTAGTTTGTCCATATTTTAACAGCAGCAATAGAAATCTAATACAGACATTTATCCAATAAAATCCACAATTACATCAGTCGATTTCCCCTGGTTAAAGTTATTTTCTGTTGACATACTATTAATACGTTATTATGAACTACAGTCCCTTGCTTAAAGTTATTTTCTGTTGACATACTACTTTATGTTGAAAAAGAAATTTAAGGTTAATTGGAGATATTTAGCACTAATAACTGGTACAGAGAATGTTCCATTCCATAAATGTAAATGTGGTTCTGATTTGAGACATTTGGGCATTAAGATAGAACAAGTAATTTATTATTAACATCAAGGTCACCCATTGTACTTTAAGTCTTTGTGTCTACATTTCTACATTCTTTGAATTTCATATTACTTCAAATATTCATCTATTCCATATTAGCTTCTACAACTTTTTCTCAAGTTTATGGTCAACATAAAAGATGAAATTATAAATGCATCATGTGTATGTACATATACGGGTGAGAGTAAGCTTGTTTAAAAGAGAAAGTGTATACAAATAAACAAAAATATTACTCTTGAATGTTTTCTTTTAAATAACAAAGTATTTCCACACATTTTATTTACTCCTCACATCATCCATGTGAACTTAAGTTTATTATTCCACATTACCTTCTGAAATAAGGTAAGTGAGGCATAGAATAATTGAATTTAAAAACAAAATACATACCAAAGCAGTAAAAGCATATTGTGCACTATCTTGAATTACATAAAAATGGAATGATGCAGTATGGGTTCTCAATTTTGTATGGCTTCTTTATTTCCAAAAGTTGTACATTTAAAATATGTGCAGTTTATTGTTTATTATTATACTCATTAATTAGTTAAAAGGATATAATTCTAATGGTGCATAACTCCAGGTAAAATTGAGAGCATAGATAGCTAAGTCATAATGAACAGGTGTGGAAGAATTTTTTCTTATTTGGAAGAATCATATGTGAATATAGAAACAGTGGAATTAAATTATAGCAATTCACATTTGATAAACTCATTTTTCCCCTAAGCTAGATTAATCCACATGTATAAATGGAGTAAACTGATTATATATTGGTCCACAACAGAAGTGTACTACACCTGCACACAACATTATGGATAAACTCTAGAAACACAATGTAGAGATGCACAGCTGACTGTATACCCATTAGGAGAACAGCAGAGATTAGGACAACTTCTCACTATATAAACTCATCTGAAAATAAAGATATTATTGCAATCCATTTGATCTTAGGATGGTTTGTTATACAGCGATAGCTAACTAGTACAATGAAGCAAACATAATTGAAAACAATAATAATAACTTGCTTTTTCTAATTTTTGATACTTGTTCTGACATTTGAAGACAGTATTCTTGATTACCTAGTTATTCAAGTTTATTTTAGATGACTTTATTAAGAAGTGACTACTTTGAAGTTCTTTGAAGGTGCCCAGGAGTGGTTAGAAGGATATGCATGGTTGTTCAAAAAAAATGGTGACCTTGACTCATAAGACTAGCCTGGTAAATTCAAGCACTCATGTGAATCGTTCTTTAACCATAAATCTTGAAGAGATTTCTGAGCAAAATGGAGAAATATAATGAGTGATATTGATATTGTTCTTCTACTAACCCTTTAGAGGTTATAAAAATATTTAGAAAAGGGGGAGGATATTTCATTTACAGTAATAAAAATCACATTTTTGATATCACTGGAAGTTTGCAATTACAAACAATAAGATAATTCAATGAAAAAACATAAAACATGCTAATCAATTCTTCACCCAATGAATAAATCCCCTTACACATAGACAACAGTAATCCATACGTCAGTGAGTGGATGTATAGCTTGGAAAAAATATTTTATATAGTAATACAAAGTACAATTTACAATTTTTTCATCATATTTACGGTCTTCTCTGACTATAAAGCCACAAGTCAATTTATTTATTTAATTTATATTTTCATGTAGACTCCATTTGGAGAAATATATCTGATGATCAATTATTGCCAGCTTGGGGTAGACATTGTGGACAATGAGCCAAAAGAGAACAGGATCTTAATAAAGAAAATATAGTCCAAGGACTAGCTATAAAATACACTAGTATGTTCAAGTTTACATTTTCAAGAAGTGCAGTAAAGATAGTGATATACAAAGAAATGCTGGACATAAAAGCGAAAAACTGTGGTCTCAGATTTTCCTGTATTGTCTTGGTCATCAAGTATAGTTTATTCTATAGGAGTAATACAACCCATGACTATTCATTTAGTAAAACAAAAGAAAAATTAACTGTATGTGTCATTTGAGAAGAAATTATTCTTAAGAAATCCATATTGTCTCATCAAATAAATAGATGAAGTTGAACTCGAAGAAATGGAAATACAAGGAAATAAATGAAGAAGCAAGTCGCACTTTCACAATCTGACAAAGAGTCATCATTTCTGGTTTAGAGACTTTGAACCCTGCATCAGGGGTGCTTCCTAAGTCTCAATACAATTGGCCTTTTTATAGCCGCCATCGATAAGAAACTTTTCAGAGCCCCCTTTATGTCTCTGTTCCTCAGACTGTAGATAAAGGGGTTCAGCATGGGTGTGATCACAGTGTACATCACTGAGGCTGTTGCACTTGATTGTGACCTGTGTGTAGCATCAGGACCAAGGTACACTCCTAGGCTACTAGAATAAAATAAGGAGACAGCTACGAGGTGAGATGCACATGTGGAAAATGCTTTATATTTTCCTTGAGCTGATGAGATTCCATGGATTGAGAAAACTATTTGAAAGTATGAGTAAAGGATGCCTACAAGAGGACCACCAGCCAGCAGCACTGCTGCAAAGTATATCACTATGTTGTAGATGAAAGTATCAGAACAGGCAAGTTGTACCACCTGATTAATTTCACAGAAAAAGTGGGGGATTTCCAAGTCTCTGCAGAAGGACAGCTGCAACACCATTGAGCTTTGTAACAAGGAATGCAGAGCACTCATGATCCAGGACACCAGAACCAGCAGTCCACAGAGCTGGGGGTTCATGAGAACCATGTAGTGCAGGGGGTGGCAGATGGCCATGAAGCGGTCATAGGCCATCACAGTCAGTAGAAAGTCATCAACCCCTGCAAAGAATAAGGCAAAATACATCTGGATGATGCAACCTTCATAGGTTATGACTCTGCTCTGCATCTGGATGTTCTGCAGCATCTTTGGGATGGTGGTGGAGGTGAAACAGATGTCTACAAAAGACAGGTTGGAGAGGAAGAAGTACATGGGTGTGTGGAGGTGGGAGTCTGAGATGGTGGCCAGGATGATGAGCAGATTTGCAAACACCATGATCAGGTACATGGAGAGGAAAAGCCAAAATATGAGGGGCTGCAGTTCTGGTTCCTTTGATAATCCCAGAAGAACAAATTCAGAAATTTGTGTATCATTTCCTGGTTCCATGTGGTGGAGGAGACTACTAGCAAATAAACAATAACAACTTTTTCACAAATGGGCATTACTCATGTAGATGAAATGCTACAATTTATATTTTGTAGTCGAGAAATAATCTATATATATGTGTCTAACTTGCCCCTTTTAGGGGATCTCCTGTATCCTGCTATGATTGAGATTTCCTTTCCCACTCAGCTTTTTCCCCAAGAGATCATGTAGTCTACAGTTTTATTGAGAGATTTTTTTCACACATTTGAGCAATACAAGTGAGTATCAGCCATCTTCCAGACAAAGAATATAGGGTACTGAGAAACAAAAGTCCATGTAATTAAAGGATTTAAAAAGAATATAATCAAATAAAAAATCATAACATGTGAGATGGTGACTGTTGCTATGAAGAAAAAGATAATGGTATAAAGGAGAGAGTGGATGAGGGTGTTATGTTTTACTGGGTGTTTAGGCAAGACGGTCAAATAAAGTGACATTTGAACAGAGACCTCAAGGAAGATAAGACAGGAGATGTGAGGTTATCTAGGAATGTGTTTGCATTGCAGGGAAAGTGGCCAATGTAAAATACTTGAGCAAAATACTTGTTTCAGAAAATCAAGGCTCAAAAGGAAGTCACAGGGCTGGCCTGGTGGCAGAGTGGTTAAGTTCACATGCTCCACTTCAGTGGCCTGGGGTTCACAGGTTTGGATCCCGGACATGGACTGATGCACCACTTGTCAAGCCATGTTGTGGCGGCATCCCATATAAATTAGAGGAAGATGGGCATGGCTGTTAGCCCAGGGCCAATGTTCCTCAGCAAAAAGAGGAGGATTGGCAACAGATGTTAGCTCAGGGCTAATCTTCCTCACAAAAAAAAAGGGAGAAGTCAGTGTGCCTAGGGGAATAAGTAAGAGGGAGATTGATGAGAGATTGTGTCAGAGAATATTTAAAACAGAGGTGGTCTTCCTATTGCTGCTGAAACTTAAAGACAAAGAGAGTCCCTCGATCACTTATTGTTCCTTGCACTTTATTAATTTTGTATCCAAGGAATCTTGTGAATAGAAATGAATTTTCTCCTTATTTCCACCTGCTGGCTAACATTTTGTTGTCTGTATTTTAGTGTCACATTATGAAGAATATGAGGTCAAGTACTCCTGACCTGAGAACTGTTTCTGCCACACAAGACATGCACATACACACAACACACTATTGCCTCCTGGGGCCATGTTACTGCAATGCTCCTCACATTCCCAGCCACAAGAATTAGAAAAGAAATGATACAAGACATGCTGTCAACATTGGATTATCTTTTCCAAAAAAATGTGGAAATAGTACCCAAATTCCAATTGCTAAGCTTCCTGTGGACATGAAAATGTGGAGCACATTTTAATATGATCATTTTGTGTTCTGTATTTAAATAAATTTAAAAAGTCAGTTTAAAAAACTGAGAGGGGGGCAAAAAAGAACACGAGGATTAAACAAAAATCTAATAAGCTCAGGTGGTCCATGAGAGATTGTGAGAAGAAAGCTTCCTTGGTTCTGGCAACGTTCCAACTTCAGTTATATCCCCTTAATGCCCAAAATAGCTAATAAAGCAGAAAAATGCCATTTATCCAAAAGAGAACTGTGATATTATTTACAGCATCAAGACATTTTACAGACTAAATATCCCACTAGAAAAATGAGCAAAGGAAAGAAATCCAGAATTCACAAAAGGAAATATACCACACTGAACAGAGATGGGGAATTTTAAAGATAAAATGGTAAAAGACTTTTCTAAGTAACATTGAATGCAAATCTTTGAAATCAAAAAATCAGGATTAGAATCTGAATTCTACCACTTATTAGCTGTTTGAACTTGGAGAGTCAACCAAATCGTTTAAAATGTTAATATCCTTATCTATATAGTAGGCATAGTGGTATCCACCATCCTAAGGTGGTCAACTGATTTAATCAATATATGTAAAAAATACTTGATGTGCTGCCTTCCTGTTAGTAAATGAATGGTTATCACTGGTGATGAGATGAACCTGATCTTTTCTTCTACCTCTCCAACATCTTCCTCTCCTTCCTATCTCTCAATCTCCAATTCCACAGCCTTATTTCAGTTCCTTGTAGTCTCTCTCATCTATCACAGGCTGGCATCCCTCTAGCTCAACATTCACATTTACCCAGAGAGACATTTCTATATTACAAAGCTAATCACTAAACTCCCTGACTTAAACCACACCCAGTAAATTTCCACTGGAGAATGAGACCAAAATTCCATAGCTTCAAACATGAGGTTGCACTGGCTGTGACTGGTCTGCCAGTTTCACCCTCACGCTGCTTTGCCCTGGTCCACATTCACCTCCCAAACATTGAACTCGACTTGCCGCTTCACCAGTCTCCACAGATTCAAATCAGCACCTCTACGCACCAGCTCTCCTCTGCCTGAAGTCTCACCCACTGGGCTGTTTGAATTTTTTTTTTTACCCTTCTTACACTTCAAATCTCCATCTCTTTTTTGCAACTGTCTGGATCATTTCTTCCATAAACCTTATTTTTTACCATTCCCATAGAAAAAGGACACTTCCTCTTGCACTTAATTTAGATGTTGAAGCTATCATTGAGTACTTTTTACCTAACTATTTTCCTCTCAGGTAGCTAGCGTGTGCCTTGAGGCATGGAGCAGCGTTATACATACTCCCCCACCCCGGACCTAATATAGTTTGTAATAGTAGGTGAATAAACATATATTCCATGAAGAAATGAGAGAACTCGTTTTTACGAAAATTGCCAATGATGAAAGATAATGAGAAAAAACAAAGAGGCAGTGAAATGTTAAAATAGGTGTTGAGGAAATGCTAGAAAAGTGTTTTCCATATTCCGCAATTGGGACTCATTAGAAGACCATACTATGGCTTTTTAAAAATCATATAAATTAAGTAAAACACAAAAGAAAATATCAGAGTTTGTCATACATAGAAGGGTACATACTAAATAGTTTTATGATTTTCCTTGTTCTGTTGTGTGTGTATATATACGTGTATTTGCATGTTTGTATTTGCACATCTGCTGGATCACAACATAAAATACATGTCTTATTGTGGGTCACTGCTGTAAAATAAGTAATAGTTTTTTTAAGAAAGATAGTTTCTGCTAATGACAGAAAAGAAATATAAATTAAGAACACAGGGGCCGGCCCCGTGGCTTAGTGGTTAAGTGCGCGCACTCCGCTACTGGTGGCCCAGGTTCGGATCCCCGGTGTGCACAGAGGCACCTCTTCTCCAGCCATGCTGAGGCCGAGTCCCACATACAGCAACTAGAAGGATGTGCAACTATGACATACAACTATCTACTGGAGCTTTGGGGGAAAAAAAGGAGGAGAATTGGCAATAGACGTTAGCTCAGAGCTGGTCTTCCTCAGCAAAAAGAGGAGGATTATCATGGATGTTAACTCAGGGCTGATCTTGCTCACACACACACACAAAAATTAAGAACCCAACAAAAGAGCCAGTTGCTGAAACTATAGGCAACAAGTTACCTGTTACCTCACACTTGAGAGAGCACAGAAGGACTGAATCTTTATTGCTGCACTTGCGTCATCATGGCATCCACCTCAAGTCCCTGATCGAATTGTTACACCTGTACCTATTCCATGTTTATTTGACCACACTTTTTCTTATATGGCTCGATAGTAAATGAAGCAGGCCCTTCTTTTACTTTTTTTGTGGCACTCTTTTCTCTGCCATTTTTGGGCTTTGATTTCTTATCTTTTTTTGACACGTTCACTGGGCACACTCTAGTCCCAGTTTTGGTCTTTATTTAACAGGCTAATCATCAACACATCATATTTTTTGCATAAAAACCTGCATGTGCCATGAATATGTTATTTTTTAAACTAAGTAGTCTTTATAATATCTATGCCTGATGGCATTACACCATACACACATTTATTTAATTGCACTCTGTGTTCTTCATTATCATGCAAATCCAAATGAGCAAGGGCTTCATCTGCCTTGTTCACTTTTGTATTTTCTTAATGATATGCAAATATATGTGCAGTTATATAGAAACAAATTTAAGAAAATTTAAATGATGAATTAAACAGAATGTCCAAGAGAATAAATTTAGGTTAAATAGCATAGTTTTAAAACAACCACTAAATCAAATGAAGCATTAAAACGGATTGAAACAAGAAATATAATAGAAATAATTTAACAATATCAATATGAATTAATAAATAAATTGGCAAGGACATAGACATAAAAAATATAATACATAATGTTCTTAGAATTTTCTGGCATGTAGCAGATGCTCAATTATTATTTGTTGGATGAAGCAAGAATTAGTTCTTATTATATATTGCCATTTAATATATGGAACATTTGTATTTCAGTTTATTTGGAAAGGTTAGATCATTGAATAGAAGCTGATATAAATGATCATCTAACTTGCAGAAATAAAGCTGTTTCCCTCTCTCAAACATATTACAAAAAATTTAAAAGATTACAGCCTCAGTGTAAGAATGACAGTTACATTTTAGATGAACATCTATAAAACTACATATAAATCTATGGGCAGGAAAAACCATCTTAAAGCAAGAAACTCAGAAAGAAGAAGAGACATATTTAAATAAAATTTAAAACTTTATGGCCAAAATATTCTTCAGAAGTTAAGTGAGAAACAATAATTAGTAAAACATCATTTGAAATTTTGATAACTGTAGAAAAATGGGTACATAACATTTTAATATAAAAATAATAGGCAAATGAAAATGGTGCTCAAACATATGAATCTTTGCTCAAATTCAACAATAGTTTGAGAAAACAATAAGAACTTTTTTTCACACCCATTAGACTGGGTAAAATGAATTAAAGAGCCATCACATTGATTGGGATTGGAACTTTTAAACATGTAGCAAAGGGGTACCATCTAATTTTGCTGGCAGAAATGTAGAGTGTTACAGGCTAGGGAAGCAACATGAAGACAGTGATAAATATTATAAATACTGATATTCTTTAACTCATAGTTTCTCA